ATGTTCACCGTAGCCATGTTCACTGTAGCCATGTTCACTGTAGCCATGTTCACTGTAGCCATGTTCACCGTAGCCATGTTCACTGTAGCCATGTTCACTGTAGCCATGTTCACTGTAGCCATGTTCACCGTAGCCATGTTCACCGTAGCCATGTTCACCGTAGCCAAGTTCACTACACACTACCTGCATTACTCTAATCAGAAAGTTCAGCCCAGAATGAACATCTGTTCTTTTGAACAAACGTTCAGTGTGCCATGATCTGAAGACGCTAATATTTAAGTGAATAAATACATTCCGGCAAAGTGGGTACTCGAACCTGGGATCTGGGTACTCCCAGTCGAGCATCTTACCCCTGTGCCACGACATAATGGTTCTATGACCTGGTTGTAAAACCTCTCACGAGTCGTGGTATAGGGGTAATGAGCGCGACTGGGAGTACCAAAATCACTAGTTCGAGTTATTTATCAAATTACTCCAATTAATTTTGTAATTGCCAAATCACCTCTGTATTTTTTTTTGTTTTATTATTAACACATTTAGGTATATCTTCATTTGTGCAGCTTCCCTTCTTGAGGTTATCTTGAGATGATTTCGGGGCTTTAGTGTCCCCGCGGCCCGGTCCTCGACCAGGCCTCCACCCCCAGGAAGCAGCCAGTGACAGCTGACTAGCACCCAGGTACCTATTTTACTGCTAGGTAACAGGGGCATAGGGTGAAAGAAACTCTGCCCATTATTTCTCGCCGGCGCCCGGGATCGAACCCAGGACCACAGGATCACAAGTCCAGCGTGCTGTCCGCTCGGCCGACCGGCTCCCTTGACTATATGAAGGGGAGTACAGAGTGTGTCAAAAAGCTAGCTATGTGATGCTAAAAAAAATCCCCATCACACAGGATGGTTAGTCATACAGGGTCATGTGATCAGTAGCCTATACTGACAGGCTGATTTCTTTGTATTGAAATGAATGTTAAACTCTACGGAACTTTGGTTACACATTTCACATCCACCGACCGGCCTCCCCCCCCCCCAACTCCTGGCTGGTCAACCCGTTCTCGCAGTTTCGTATAGTCAATATTGACTTATTAAATACGTGCATATGTGACATACTAATTTTTTTTTACTTTTTGTAACCTATTATAGGTATAGGTTAAGTAATAATTGTAATTACGAAGCAATAAGATGCTAATCTTAACATACTAAGAAGGTTAGGTAAGGTCGGTGTTTTCTATGAAGCTTTTCAAGGTAAACTAAAATATTCACAATAAATTAGTATGTCACATATGCACATATTAATAAGCCAATATTGACTATAAGCAAGTGCGAGAACGGGTTACAGTAGCTGGTGGATAACATTACTGAGAAGGTAATATAGGTACTGAATACTGTGGTCTCTCAGTGTAGGTCTTTTTAGCTATTTTAACTAATACTGTAGAAAAGCCGTGTGTAAACAGCACAGTTTTGGGCTAGGAAAAGAATTTTTTGGACTAAGAAAAAAATATTTTGAACTAGGAAAAGAATATTTTGGACTAGGAAAATAATATTTTGAACTTGAAAAATAATATTTTGGACTAGGAAAATAATATTTTGGACTTGGAAAATATTGTTTTGGAATAGGAAAATAATATTTTGAACTTGAAAAATAATATTTTGTACTTGGAAAATAATATTTTGGACTAGGAAAATAATATTTTGGACTTGGAAAATAATATTTTGGACTAGGAAAATAATATTTTGGACTAGGAAAATAATATTTTGGATTAGGAAAATAATATTTTGGACTAGGAAAATAATATTTTGGACTTGGAAAAGAATATTTTGAACTTGGAAAAAAATATTTTGAACTTGGAAAATAATATTTTGAACTTGGAAAAAAATATTTTGTACTCGGAAAAGAATATTTTGGACTTGGAAAAAAATATTTTGGACTAGGAAAATAATATTTTGGACTAGGAAAATAATATTTTGGACTCGGAAAATAATATTTTGGACTCGGAAAATAATATTTTGGACTAGGAAAGGAATATTTTGTACTTGGAAAAATATATTTTGTAGTTGGAAAAGAATATTTTGAACTCGGAAAATAAAATTTTGGACTTGAAAAATAATATTTTAGACTTGGAAAAGAATATTTTCAACTCGGAAAAGAATATTTTGGACTAGGAAAATAATATTTTGAACTTGGAAAAAAATATTTTGTACTTTAAAAAGAATATTTTGGACTTGGAAAATAATTCTGGAGAGTAATGAACATTCGGGAAATTTACAGTTTCTTAAATGCCGAAAACTATCTTATGTAGGACGTATTACATGTGTGTGTGTGAGAGTTAGTGGAGCAACGAGTGATTCGTATGATGTGAATGATGATTTATAGACAGGTTGTATTCTGTCAACCTGGTTATTCATTGAGTAAATGATGAGGATGATGAGTTGAGTTCCCTGACAGGATTAGGTGCCTCGGATTTATTTACACTGAGATGTGTACATGAGAGTGAACACGTGAGGATTACTTGTGGATTACTTGTGGATTACTTCCTGGGATAGGTCAGTCGTTGACTTAAAACGACCTTGATAACTTTCACGATCTTTCTGTCCATAACAGAGGAAAACTTCAAGTTTCTTAAGACAAAAATCCCGCACTTATGTATTTGTGTATTTTAAGTAAAGCGTTGACCAACAAGAATTTTGTACTCTCCTGCCAAAAACTTGGTGTAGTTCGAATCTTGACATAAAATTCACAAATACATAAGTATGTTTTTTGTATGTTAATATATCTGTTATAATACATTACCATTGCTTATTGCATGTTTTATTTTAGTAACTGAAAAACGTCAAATATGTGTAGATGAAATAGTTCCTTAGGATTACAGTGAGTTATAATAATGTAGACTATGTATGAAAGCTGTGTATGACTATGTATTATGTAGACCACGTGAAAATGGCATTGAGGAATGCCAAAAAAACTAAAAAATATTTGAGAGAGAATAAAAATAATGGACACAAACTACATGTGAATGGCAAAATGACCAAAGTTGTCAAAAATCTTAAATACCCAGGATGAGTTATTTATATATAAAAAATACTTTTTCTAATCATACTGCGAGTAGAGGCCTCGTCAGGAAAGGTAAGGGAAGGTAAGGTAATGTAAGGTAAGGTAAGGTAAGGGCAATACCAGCCCTGACTAGCAAAAGTATATGAATAACACCAACTGCTAGAGGTATGCATAATGGAATTCCGTCTTGCAACATTTATGCATGCTTGCAAGAGACACTAGTGGGGCTCGAACGTGGAAACTAAAAACATTGATTACTAGAAACAAATATTCTTACGACAATTCTTAGAACGAAATATATTAGGACAATATAAAGATGATGGACTGTAAACAGCATCTAGAGGTGTATAGTGAACAAATTCAACACAAGAATGAGAAAAGTGAATTGACATGCCATGTTGCACAATTGAATAATGGTCTAACTGGTTAAAGAGTATATCCAAGTGAATATACCTTTTAAATATACCACCTAGGAGGAGAGTGAGTCCAGGAGGAAGGGGGTGACAGACATTGTGAGTCAGTGTATGAGTAAGCGGGATGCGGATGTGTAAGTCACCGGGAAGTGGGTGTATGAGGAAGCAGAATGTGAGTTTGTGAGTAAGCGGGAAATGAGTGTGTGTGAAGCAGCCAGGAGTGAGTGAGAATGAAAGCACAGAATGTGTGAGGAAGCGAAGAATGTCTGAAGAAGCAGTGTGAGTAAATATCTGTGAGGAGAAGGTGGTGAATGAGATTGTGAGGAAGGAAGTCGATAGAACACATGGAATATACTAAGATACGAGGCCGGCTAGAAACAGATATGTAAATGTATTTGTAAATGTATTTGTAAATATATTGTAAAAGATGCCCCACAAAGGACACTATACCCATGAACCTAGGAAGCGGTCAGCTAGCTGCTTTGAACCTCAACTGCAAACACAATAACCCAAAAAAAAATCTATAACAAAGCCTCCATGACTCTTGAAAGATGCACGGGTTTCGCAAGTAAAAGAATAAAAAACTTGCTGAATCCAAGCACAACAATAAAAGGCTTATAACATTTAATCAAACAGGTACAAATGCTATTGGAAACAAACAAAAAAATATAATTTTAGAAGAACCAGGAAACATATTTAATTAAACGTGAGAAAAAAATGTTGCTTCTCCAAAACTATATTACTATTATTTCGAATGGAATAGCTTGCCACTCCAAAATATATTTTCGCCCTTTCAGTCACCACAAACCAGGACCAATCAGATTAGCAGCTTGACGCCACGCCGATGGGCAACTCTGATTGGAAGTTGCAATTCTGCCCAAGGTCAAATTCACTCGTGGTGTCATGTAACCCTTTCAACGACAAGATAATGACACGTTCCTCCGGGCATAAGAGGCCACGTTCCTCCGAGCATAAGAGGCCACGTTTCTCCGGGCATAAGAGGCCACGTTCCTCCGGGCATAAGAGGCCACGTTCCTCCAGGCATAGGAGGCCACGTTTCTCCGGGCATAAGAGGCCACGTTCCTCCGGGCATAAGAGGCCACGTTTCTCCGTGCATAAGAGGCCACGTTCCTCCGGGCATAAGAGGCCACGTTTCTCCGGGCATAAGAGGCCACGTTCCTCCGGGCATAAGAGGCCACGTTCCTCCGGGCATAAGAGGCCACGTTCCTCCGGGCATAAGAGGCCACGTTCCTCCGGGCATAAGAGGCCACGTTCCTCCAGGCATAAGAGGCCACGTTCCTCCGGGCATAAGAGGCCACGTTTCTCCGGGCATAAGAGGCCACGTTTCTCCGGGCATAAGAGGCCACGTTCCTCCGGGCATAAAAGGCCACGTTCCTCCGGGCATAAGAGGCCACGTTCCTCCGGGCATAAGAGGCCACGTTTCTCCGGGCATAAGAGGCCACGTTTCTCCGGGCATAAGAGGCCACGTTCCTCCGGGCATAAGAGGCCACGTTTCTCCGTGCATAAGAGGCCACGTTCCTCCGGGCATAAGAGGCCACGTTCCTCCGGGCATAAGAGGCCACGTTCCTCCGGGCATAAGAGGCCACGTTCCTCCAGGCATAAGAGGCCACGTTCCTCCAGGCATAAGAGGCCACGTTCCTCCGGGCATAAGAGGCCACGTTCCTCCAGGCATAAGAGGCCACGTTCCTCCGGGCATAAGAGGCCACGTTCCTCCGGGCATAAGAGGCCACGTTCCTCCGGGCATAAGAGGCCACGTTCCTCCGGGCATAAGAGGCCACGTTCCTCCGGGCACAAGAGGCCACGTTTCTCCGGGCATAAGAGGCCACGTTCCTCCAGGCATAAGAGGCCACGTTCCTCCAGGCATAAGAGGCCACGTTCCTCCGGGCATAAGAGGCCACGTTCCTCCGGGCATAAGAGGCCACGTTCCTCCAGGCATTAGAGGCCACGTTCCTCCGGGCATAAGAGGCCACGTTCCTCCGGGCATAAGAGGCCACGTTCCTCCGGGCATAAGAGGCCACGTTCCTCCGGGCATAAGAGGCCACGTTCCTCCAGGCATAAGAGGCCACGTTCCTCCAGGCATAAGAGGCCACGTTCCTCCGGGCATAAGAGGCCACGTTCCTCCGGGCATAAGAGGCCACGTTCCTCCAGGCATAAGAGGCCACGTTCCTCCAGGCATAAGAGGCCACGTTCCTCCAGGCATAAGAGGCCACGTTCCTCCGGGCATAAGAGGCCACGTTCCTCCAGGCATAAGAGGCCACGTTCCTCCAGGCATAAGAGGCCACGTTCCTCCAGGCATAAGAGGCCACGTTCCTCCAGGCATAAGAGGCCACGTTCCTCCAGGCATAAGAGGCCACGTTCCTCCAGGCATAAGAGGCCACGTTCCTCCGGGCATAAGAGGCCACGTTCCTCCGGGCATAAGAGGCCACGTTCCTCCGGGCATAGGAGGCCACGTTCCTCCGGGCATAAGAGGCCACGTTCCTCCGGGCATAAGAGGCCACGTTCCTCCGGGCATAAGAGGCCACGTTCCTCCGGGCATAAGAGGCCACGTTCCTCCGGGCATAAGAGGCCACGTTCCTCCGGGCATAAGGAGCCAAATTTAAGGAAAAATATCCTCCCCAAAGATATATATTTCAAGTTTAAGAGACGAAGGGAATGACAGCAAAACAAAGAACAGGAAAAACCAAAAACCAGCGAAGTTTCGGACCATAAATCTGGTCGTAGACAGTCGTAGACACATTTGTGGTCATTCTCAACCGCTGAAACAAGTGACGGTTGGGTTATCTTGAGGTTATCTTGAGATGATTTCGGGGCTTTTTAGTGTCCCCCGCGGCCCGGTCCTCGACCAGGCCTCCACACCCCCAGGAAGCAGCCCGTGACAGCTAACTAACACCTAGGTACCTATTTTACTGCTAGGTAACAGGGGGCATAGGGTGAAGGAAACTCTGCCCATTGTTTCTCGCCGGCGCCTGGGATCGAACCCGGGACCACAGGATCACAAGTCCCGCGTGCTGTCCGCTCGGCCGACCGGCTCCCTCGGTCAGTGAAATGGAGTCCAATTTCCTAATTTTTCGTCGTTCTCTCTGTGCCTATTTTTGAGAATGAATTGGGGGGCAAAGAACGACATTTGGCGGAGGAAATAGGAGGAAAAAAAAAATGGAAGATGGATGATCTTGATGTGGTGCAATTTTTGAAGATATATTGTATTTGGAGCGAAAAATTTTCAAAAATCCTAAACAATTCAAGATGATTCATTTCGGTGTTTGGAAAACTTCTGAAAGAATGGCTTCTTGCTTCAAGGGTGATTAGGCGAGCGTGTTGGAGAAGAATATATACATACAGCATATACACATGTCTCTCTAGGGGAGACATGATCACCACATACAAAATTCTCAGAGGAATTGACAGGGTGGACAAGGATGGATTATTTAAAATGGGTCTCACACGAAGAAGGGGACACAGATGGAAGCTGAGTACCCAAATGAGCCACAGAGAAATTAGAAAGAACTTTTTCAGTGTCAGAGTAGTTAGTAAATGGAATGCATTAGGAAGTGATGTGGTGGAGGCTGACTCCATACACAGTTTCAAATGTAGATATGATAGAGCCCAGTAGGCTCAGGAACCTGTACATCAGTTGATTGACGGTTGAGAGGCGGGACCAAAGAGCCAGAGCTCAACCCCCGCAAACTCAACTAGGTGAGTACAACTAGGTGAGTACAGCATATATATTTTTGTTTACACAAGCACACAGACACACAACAAAAAGACACACGTACGTGAGACCAGTGCTAAAGTATGCAGCCCTCCTTTCTCATTTCACAAGGCACATTAAGAAACCCGATATCTGCCTGAGGTTCGCTACAAGGTTGGTTCCAGAATTAAGGTCTTGACTACGAGGAGAGAAGAACCGGGCCTCGTTAGAACTGAGTAGAGGAAAGGAAGACATATGGTTCATACTGACGTCAAACCATTGTAGGAAAAGAGTTGAAGTGATTGAGGGATGAAGAAAGACTGAAGGAACTG